CTTTAGTTCTGGTCCAAACGCTGACGCTCACAACCGTTATAGAAAGAGCTGCTAAACCCACAGAGACGATGATGATATGCCATAAACCTGAAAGACAAACAAGAATATTTTTTTCTTGTCGAAGGTCTAAGTAATAATAGCTTTCCTTTACTTATGTTTTTAATTGTCTTTATTTTGCTATATTCTCTACAAAATCAAATGATTATATTATTTCTTTTAAATAAAATTGGTTTTATATTGCATAATTTTGTTTATGGTATTTAAGTCTGAAATATAAAATAAAAGCAATATGTGAAACACACTAATAGCACAACCTGATGTTTTCTTTGGGTTAAGACATTTCTGAATAAATGAAAAAAAACAACAACATTGTTCTTGAATCAGACCGTCATTATCAGGAGAGTTTCTTTTTAGAACAATCAGTGCTTTATCTATTGCTCTCTGAATAATGTTTGATAGAATTGACAGGACTGGTGAATTACATACTAGCAGGTGATTTATTTGATGAAGCTTGTTGATGCTGTGATATATTTTATAGCCAAAGATGAGAGATGCTTTTTTAAACTTAATCTGAAGCTCAATAATAAAGATTGAAAAAAATATCAAAGGCGTCTTCATGGGAATCTATACAAATGACATCTATACAAAAAACACTTAAAACAAGTTTAAGAGTTTAGTGGAGAGAAAAAACCTGCAACAATGAAGCAACATCAGAGCATCTTTACCTCCATTAGATAATGAGTCTGTTGGCGTTGGACATGGTTCTCTGGTTTTTTCTATTTCTCTGGTTGGGCTGCGTGGGCTCTCAGCTGTTGTTTCAACGTAAGGGTTGAGATGACAGAAAAAGGTTGAGTGAGGTGAAAAAACCTGCAACAACAAGACAACATCACAGCATCTTTACCTCCATTAAATGATGAGTCTGTTGGCGTATGACCTGGTTCTGTGCTTTCTTCTTTTTCTCTGGTTGGGCTGTGTGTGGTCTCAGCTTTTGTTTCAACTTAAGGGTTGAGATGAGAGAAAAGGGTTGAGTGGAGAGAAAATACCTGCAATAATGAAACAGCATCACAGTATCTTTACGTCCATTAGATGATGAGTCCGTTGTGGTTGTACCTGGCTCTCTGCTTCCTTCTATTTCTCTGGTTGGGCTGCATGTGGTTTCAGCTTTTGTTTCAACTCCAGACAAAGATACTAACAAAACCAAAGAGTTAATATGTTCAAGTATTCAGTTTGCTGCAACAATAGTTACATGCAAAATAGAAATTTCATGAGATCAGAGATTTTGAATAAGGTAATTAACCTGAAGCAACAAGTTTTCTCACCTGATTTCTTTTTAGGGGACAAATTGTTGAAGTTGAAGAACTGACTGGTTCCACCGTGTGTGACTTCACACCTGAACTCACTGCTCTGCATATAGGACTGCTCAATAAAACAAACTGCAGCAGAGCAGTCAGGCTGTTTTGACTCACAGTGTTTCACATCTGTAGCTCCAGCAGGACAGTTATGCAGCCACTTCACTTTGAAATCACACCGTCCATATGTCTTCACAGAACAAGTTAATGTCGCTTTATCTCCGTCCCTTTGTTTAGTTACTGATGAGGAAACAGTAGGAGACACATTTTACACAAAACATACAGAATAAGTCACTGTACTTATTGTGGCTATAAGTGAGTTTAAATGTTTCGGACGAAATAGTAATTCTGCTGTAAAATAACAACAGCAGCACTAATAAAACACTGAGACAGAGAACAATGGCTTCATATTAATACTCACTGTGGACAACAGACAGATCAACTCCAGACCGATGAACCAGGATGTGATGATGTGGTTTGATTTCTGATTTGTATTGTTGGCATTGATAATGACCAGCATCCTCCACTCTGACATTCCTTATTACCAGAGAACAGCTTTCTAAACTCAGTCTGTTTGATTTACTTTGCAGATTTGGGTCNTGATAATGACCAGCATCCTCCACTCTGACATTCCTTATTACCAGAGAACAGCTTTCTAAACTCAGTCTGTTTGATTTACTTTGCAGATTTGGGTCAATCTTTCCGAGTGTGACCAGCTCTACTGAGGAGCTCCTTGAACTGAAGACCCATGTGGAACCATTACAGTTTTTCTGACCAATAATCAAACATTGGCAGGACAAAACCATGGTATCTACAGATCTTATTAAAGCAGCTGCTCTATCTGAAAACACTGTCGACAAACAGGAAGAGACAGTGGAGAAAAAAATAGAAGTTGTAAATCTGAATACTTTAAGATTCCAGAATAAATAAGAGTTTGTTAAGATATTTCTTTGTCATTTTTCAGGTTTAAAGACAGAAAATAGTT